TGAGCATACTGCCCATATAATTCAGACTCACCCTGGTCCTTGCAACCCCAAAGCAGAGATCTATCGGTAGTTGAGGTTCTCTTCCAAACATGAGTGAGTAGGGGCTGGCTCCGGTGGCATCATTTCTGGTAGCGTTGTATGCGTGCACCAAAAAAGCTAGGTGTTGACTCCAACGATCCTTCTGTTCGTTCCTCAGTGTACCCAACATATTAAGTAGAGTCCAGTTAAGCCTCTCCAGCTGAGGGTCTCCTTGAGGGTGATAGGGAGTGGTCCGTGACTTCCAGATGCCAGCCATCTGGAAAATTTCTCTTAACAGGTGACTTTCGAAGTCTCGCCCTTGATCAGAGTGGATCCACTCCGGAAGGCCGTACACCACAAAGTACTTTTCCCACAGAACCTTTGCCACAGTGGTGGCCCTTTGGTTTCTGGTGGGGTAGGCCTGGGCATACCTGGTAAAGTGATCTGTGACTACTAGTACATTGCTGATGTTTTTGCGATCAGTTTCAATAGTTAGGAAGTCAATATACAACAGCTCCAAGGGCTTTGAACTGCTGATGGTGTGCAGGTACGCTGTCCTAGTCGGCAAAGTCTTCCACTGCACACAGCGTGCACAAGTTTCATATTTCTTTTGGACATCTCTGGCCCTCCCAGGCCAATAAAATGGGTCCCGAACCAATAACAGTGTTCGCTCGACCTCAAGGTCATCATGCAATGCTCTCAGTGACAGTGTCCAGTTTTCTTGGGGCAGCACTAGTTGCTTGTGAGTGCCCCCATCCAGGGTTGTTACCATTCAATACAGCACTCCCTCTACAACCCTCAGTCAGGGCCATTCACGAAGGAGGTGTTGGCCACCAAGTGTTTTAGGCTTGAACTCTTTTGACAAGTCCCCTTTTTTCTTTTTTTCTAAAATTTCTTTTATGTCAGGGTCAGCTTCTTGAGCTCGCTGCCATCCCATGGCATTGAGTCGTGGCAGCGGCGATTGATCTAGAGTCACATAACCCACTGTGGCCCGTGGGACACTGTCCAGTGGCAGGCCTAGCACTTCTGCTGCACAGTCAGGTAGTCTCTCTGCCTCAGATGTTCTCCTTTCCTCCAAACCACAGATGCTCTGCACCTCATCCACCGTTGCTATTTCTCTCTCCTGCTTATACGGTTGTCGCGATAAAGCATCAGCATCTATGTTTTTCCTCCCTGCTCTATAGTGTAAGCTGAAATGGTAATCGGCCAATGCTGCTACCCAACGGTGCCCTGTTGCATCCAGCTTGGCACTTGTTAGCACATAGGTCAGTGGATTGTTATCAGTCCAAACTTCAAACTGGGTCCCATACAGGTAGTACTTGAATTTGTCAGTCACCGCCCACTTGAGTGCAAGGAACTCTAGCTTATGCGTCGGGTACCGAGTTTCACTGTCGACTAAACCTTGGCTGGCAAAAGCAACGGGTTTTAATTTTCCTTGGTGCTCTTGGTATAGCACAGCCCCCAACCCCTCAAGGCTGGCATCTGTATGCAATACAAAGGGCCATTGCGGGTCTGCATAAACTAATACCAGGCACATGTCAAACTCCGGATGAGGGCTCTGAATGCCCGCTCACAATTTTCATCCCATCGTGGCCCAAATGACTCTAATGGGTCCTGGAAACCCAAGGGCCTGCCTGCTCCTGCCTTAAACAGAGCTCCTTTACTTCGGATCTGGCTCCTTTTTGCCTGATATCCCTGAGTGAGGTTGTTTAGGGGTTTTGCCAATTTGGCATAGTTCTGGACAAATTGTCTATAGTACCCAGCAAACCCCAAGAATCACTTAAGTTCCTTGGCCTTGGCCACGCTGCCACGGCATTGATCTTATCGGGGTCTGTGCTGACTCCCTCCTGGGACACTATATGTCCAACATATTTGACTGACGTCTGGCAAAACTGACACTTGTCCAGGGCAAGCTTAAGCACAGCAGCTTGCAATCGATCCAGGACTCTCAACAGTCATTCTTCATGCTCCTCTAGCGTCTTCCCAAATACTATGAGGTCATCCAGGTATACCAGCACTTGGGTCATGTTCATGTCTCCCACTACCTTTTCCATGAACTGTTGAAATGTAGCAGGGGCACCGGAGATCCCTTGGGGCATCCGCTCAAATTGGTAGAACCCCAGTGGGCAGATGAAAACTGTTTTTTCTTTATCCTCTTGTGCCAGTGGAATTTGGTAATAACCGCTCCGCAGATCAAGCACCGAGAACCACTGGCTTCCCAACAAACAATCAAGGGTATCTTGCACTCGGGGAACAGTGTATTGGTCCACTGTAGTGCGGCTGTTGAGGGTTCGATAATCAATGCACATCCGAATTTTGCCAGATTTTTTTCGCACTACCACAATTGGGGAGGCATATGGGCTACAGGTCTCGGATATAATACCATGGTCCAAAAGTTGACTGTGGTGGGCACGGAGCCACGGCCAATCCCCGGGCTGGCGCTGGTGTTACCGCTTTGATGGAGGCCTTTACAGCTTGTAGGCTTTCAGCCTCCCTGATTTCTGAAAGCAACTGCCCAAATGTAGGGGGATTCTCTCTCCTCCCAGTGAGGTTGAGATCCCTTACCAGTTGCTCATCATAAAGTATTCCTACCCAGAGCTGCTGCAAGCGAGCTTTGCCAGCCATCTCCCGAGTGAGTCCTCCTTGGGCCACTAGCTGCTGTAACACTCTCTCTAATCGCAGGATGTAAGCTAAGGCTGTTTCCCCTTTTTGTTGGTATGTCTTATTAAATTCCAGGAACAAAGCCTCAGCTTGCACTGATTTTCCAAAGACACTAGACAGAAGTGCGAGACACTGGAGAATGGAAATGTTGCAGTTTTCCTGCTTAATCATTCGAACCACTTCAAAAGCTGGATCTCGGAGACTCTCCAGCAGCCGCCTCCACTTCTCCTCTTCCAAGACTACCCACAAGGCCAAAGTCTCTGTCACATGGAAATACCAAGCCTCAAAAGTCTCTTCCCCTGGGGGAAGTGGGTCCTTCCCTCAGAATATGCGGAGCCTCTTGCAGGCAACTGACTCAGGTGATGGCTGGAGTGCCTCCTTCAGGGCTTTTCCCAATGCCTTTGCCCACTCTGGATCTGGCGATCTGGTGCCCCCCTCACTCTCACCTGGGGCAGCTGGCACAGGGTCTTCAGCTTCTCTGGAGGGTGGTTCTTCGGATTCCCCTCCAGAGTCTGGGTGAGGCACAGGCCCCCCATCTACTAGAGTTACAGCCCAGACTTCCTCATCTGGTAAAATCTGGTAAAATCTGTGGGCAAGGAAGGAGCCCCACAGGGGACACTTGCCTGCCTGTACACAAATGCCAGGAGCTTGGGGAATAAGCAGGAGGAGCTCATCCTCCTGCTCAATGCAAATAATTATGATGTCATAGGGATAACAGAGACCTGGTGGGACTCCACCCATGACTGGACCACGGGTATAGATGGCTATACCCTGTACAGGAGGGATCGTGTAGA